CAGTGTTACATGGTTTGTCCCAAGTTCATTGATGCCAACTGTCCTTAGAAAGTCTTGCATCTCAGACCTCTGTCCCTATCATGCTGCGTCCTGGGATCACAGCGTCAACCTTAAGGGGTATTGACTTAGAGGGGATCCAAGGAACAAGTGGGTGGTTCCCTCATATTTAGAGGTGGGATCATGCCAGAAAGTGGGTGTGGTCTGGGTGTGACCATTCAAGAAATGAGCATGCTGAATGTGGGCTGTTGGTGGGGGTGGCAGTGTCCAAGGAGGGAGGGGGCGGAGACAAGTCCAGTTACTCTGCAGAAGAAGAGAGAGCAGCAGTGACTGGTCTTTATTACGGGGGGGGGCGGAGACAAGACCAGTCACCCTGCACAAGGAGAGAGCAGCAGTGAGCGGTCTCTATTACAGGAGGGGGCGGAGACAAGACCAGTCACCCTGCACAAGGAGAGAATAGCAGTGACCGGTCTTTATTACAGGAGGGGGTGGAGACAAGACCAGTCACCCTGCACAAGGAGAGAGAGCAGCAGTGGCCAGTCTTTATTACAGGAGGGGGCGGAGACAAGACCAGTCACCCTGCACAAGAAGAGAGAGCAGCAGTGAGGTGTCTTTATTACAGGAGGGGGGCGGAGACCAGACCAGTCACCCTGCACAAGGAGAGAATAGCAGTGACCGCTCTTTATTACAGGAAGGGGCGGAGACCAGACCAGTCACCCTGCACAAGGAGTGAATAGCAGTGACCAGTCTTTATTACAGGAGGGGTTCTATTGTAAAAAGAACATATGCCCCCCCCCCGGCCCCCCATCCCAGAGCGGTGATGTTATATTTATAATATCACAACGTAGAGAAGAAAACATTGTTTAGTAACAATGTGGAGCAATGTGGTCTTTTGTGTCTAATTTAATCAATATGGCCGCCGCTCGCCATATACAATACACAGAGCGTTTAGATGTTTGTATAAGAAGGAACGGTCTGTGTGGTCGCGGTTTACAGCAAAGCAAAGCGTACATCATTAATTGCACAACAGCGAGCAGTGCGCACGGGACCGGGGTGCGCGGAGTCCCGTATCCTCTCTGCTCGCAGTCAGTGTAATTCCCCCCAAAAAACGAACGTGTTCCAGGAAATTTTTTACGCAACTTATAAAACCTTTCCGACTATTTTTACACCAAAAACACATTCCCCTGAATGTGGCGCAGACCGTTATTTTCAGGGGTGATGAAAAGAGAACATTCCACCAATGTACCTGTTTATTTTTTGTATATTATTTCAGGAATGGGGATGGGGGATGGGGGAACATTCAGGAATGGGGATGGGGGAACATTCAGGAATGGGGATGGGGGAACATTCAGGAATGGGGATGAGGTTCAGCTTTGGCGCAGCCTTGGGTTTGAGTTGGATCCCTGAGGAACGCGTTCAGCAAATCATGAACTACCGGCCAATAAGATGGAGAGCTGGCGCCAGACATGAGGAACAGCCTCAGTCAGCGGACTCACAAGAGCCAATCCTAGAAAGGAATGGATAAGTCCGCCCCCCAGGACTATAAGAGGCTCTGCTCACAGCCGCCATATTGTAAGGGGGTGCCGGAGTGTTTGATAATCCGTCTAGAGTCTAGATACTGCGCTATGTTGGGTTATACCAGTCTATACTGGTGTGTATGGTACTATACTGGGATACACAGGGATATACTGTACTATACTGGTTTATACTGGGCTACAATGTACTGTGCTGGTCTATACTTACTATACTGGTCTATACTGTACTATACTGGTTTATACTGGGCTACAATGTACTGTGCTGGTCTATACTTACTATAATGTATTATACTGGTCTATAATTACTATACTGGTCTATACTGTATTATACTGGTCTATAATTACTATACTGGTCTATACTGTATTATACTGGTCTATAATTACTATACTGGTCTATACTTACTATAATGTATTATACTGGTCTATACTTACTATAATGTACTATACTGGGATACACAGGGATATACTGTACTATACTGGTTTATACTGGGCTACAATGTACTGTGCTGGTCTATACTTACTATACTGGTCTATACTGTACTATACTGGTCTATAATTACTATACTGGTCTATAGTGTACTATAATGGTCTATACTGTACTATACTGGTCTATAATTACTATACTGGTCTATAGTGTACTATACTGGTCTATACTGTACTATACTGGTCTATAATTACTATACTGGTCTATAATTACTATACTGGTCTATACTGTACTATACTGGTCTATACTGACTTATTTGGTCTATAATTACTATACTGGTCTATACTGGTCTATACTGTACTATACTGGTCTATACTGTACTATACTGGTCTATAATTACTATACTGGTCTATAATTACTATACTGGTTTATACTGTACTATACTGGTCTATACTGGTCTATACTGGACTGTATTGGGCTCTAGTGTGCTATACGGTACACTGTGTTATATTACAATGACAGCCAGGTCTTAAATGAGAATCATAATTGAAGACGATGCAGCGCGGTTGCGATACCAGCGACTCTTAAACTATACCACGGAACCTATACGACGCCGGACAATTTGTACCAAGCTACACCTGCTGCAGCAGTCAGATCATTTGTATCTGTAGCTAAAACTACCTGAAAAATACTTTTTATTGTAAGCTGAGAAATGAATTCAGATCGGGGGAGGGGGGGGCAGCTGCTGTATGCGGAGTCAATTCTACAGCCCATTCTGCGCTGCCAGTGTACACTGTCGCTGAGGTTGTCTGTGATAATCGCACCGTCCTGTACGACGCATACGGCTTTAAGACCCCCGAGCCTGTAATTGAAAACATTTTTGTAATGTCACCAATTAAAGCCTCCTGAAAAGCCAGCTCCCCCTTACGGTATTTTTTGGCATTGTCTGCATGCTCCCCCATGGCAGTGCTACCATAGCGTGCCTATTAGCCCAACAAATGTTGAGGTCTAAGGTGCATGCATTGGGGCTGATCCAATGTCTGAAGTGCATGCGTTGGGGCTAATCTAAGGTGTGAAGTGCATGCACTAGGGCTGATCTAAAGTTTGACGTTTATGCATTGGGGCTGATCTCAGAAGTGATGTGCATGCGTTGGAGCTGATCTGAGGTCTGACGTGCATGCATTGGGGCTGATCTAAGGTGTGAAGTGCATGCATTGGGGTTGATCTGAGGTCTAAAGCGCATGTTTATACTAGGGCTGATCTGAGGTCTGAAGTTTATGCATTGGGGCTGATCTAAGAAGTTATGTGCATGCGTTGGAGCTGATCTGAGGTCTAACTTGCATGCATTGGGGCTGATCCAATGTCTGACGTGCATGCATTGGGGCTGATCTGAGGTCTGAATTGGGACTGAAGTGCATGCATTGGGGCTGATCTAAGGTGTGAAGTGCATGCATTGGGACTGTACCGGGGTGTGAAGGGCATGTTTTGTGTGCTCACCAGCCAATCAATGTTTGCGCTGGTGGTTGTACTTGTGATGACACGTTACACTCATTAATTATAATTATTGACTTTAACTTTCCTTTAGCGGTACAACATCAGGAGCAGAAACTGAACCCAAGCCAAGACTACAACGCGCTATTGTTCACCGGCACGCCAATCCCCCCCCCCCCATGTT